CCGAATTTTGTTGTTGATGCAGGCTGAGTGACGAAGATTTCCAGATTGGTTTCAGGTTGATGAATGTGTTTCTCGCTTTCCCGATTCTCGATTTGACATCCTCGTCCGTTCCTCCTGTAGCTGAGACAATGCTCTCTAGATAAGTGAATGAAGTAACCTCTTTCCAATCCATCCCGTTGGTGGTGATTGGCGCTGGATGTTGCTGATGCTGTTATTGTTGTTGGTTGGTTATTTTCATAACCTTCGTCTTGTCTATTTTCACCTGTCTTTGCTACTTCTTCGACCAGTTTGTTGGTTTTCGCTTGTAAATCTTCGATTTTGTGTGACATAAAATGTCGCCTAGATAACTAGCTCACTAGTTTTCTAGCCGGTCCCAAGCCCTCACAAAGAGGGAAGGTTGGGGCGTGGTGCTAGCAACTCCACCCTCAACAATTAACCAAACTGCTACAGAAACTTCAACGCATAAATATATATGAAAAATAAATTAAAAATTAGATATAACTATTTGTCTGTTGGGTCTGTTGGCGGTTCGGAGGTAGAATGCTCACCAACTACGCATATTGTCCAGGTTTTGACTCCATATAGGCGCACCCCTGTATCACACTTAACAATTAGAGAGACAGGAAACATTAAGGATTGGGCGTGAGACTAGAAAGCCCCCACCCCCTCCGTAAAAAGAACCACTGCTACTAAAATCTGTGAGCTCAAGCTCAAAGTTCGAAATTCGAGTCAGAACGTAGAGGAATAAGAACACTTTGGATTGTTACAGATACGTGTACCTAATGATATGAGGATGAAAATCAGAGAAGAATAAATGCCTAACTGATCCTAATAATATAAAATGACAAAGTGTCAAGAGACACTCTTCATTTGTTAGCTCCTAAGTACAAATATTAGAAGAACAGAAAGATAAGCCTATACTATATTTTGAACAACACATTTAAGCGAATAATATTGTTGGCGAAGTACAAGAATAGAGTCCCAGGATTGTAAATGTTCCAGTGACCCTGAAAGCATGCTATTCATTGGTTGAGGAAGCTTACCATTATTCTAGCGCTACAATGAACCCTGTTCATGAGCTCAGATGCAAACTCCATCCAGATCACGTTTTCCAGTACTGCCTAGATAATGGATTGATAGGACGTACTCGGATATGCGGTTGCAGTGCTTCCATGAACCTCCAGTCGTATACCCAGGTCACTGATGAATATGTATTCAGATGTACACAGTGTAGGAAGCGAATAAGTGTGCGTACTGGTAAGTGTCACTGAATTAATTGTCTTCTAGGAACTTTCTTTGAAAAGTCGAAACTGTCCTTGACGAATATCTTGTTTCTGTCCAATTACTGGGTTTTAAAGTCCGGGGTGTGATCTACTACGGCTCAGACAGCTAATACGTTGACGTCTACTGTGCAGTGGTTTCAATTTTGTCGAGATTTAGCCTCATGAAAGATGAGTAGTATTACTGAGGTGTTTGGAGGAGTCGGTGTAGTCGTCCATATCGATGAAACCGTTCTTATCAAGAAGAAGTACAATCGGGGGCGTACCAGAGCGAATAGCGTTTGGGTTTTAGGAATTTATGACACCCAGATTCGCAAAGAGTTTATCGAGCTGATTCCAGATATGAGTGCTGATACACTTCTCCCTACTATTCAGCGTCTCGTCTTACCAGGCACCACCATTTACACAGATGAATGGGCAGGATACAACTGATTATCGCAACTGGGCTATATACATCATCGAGTCAACCATTCCGATGACTTCGTCGACCCCAGGACCGGTACTCATACCAATATAGAATCAAAGCGATCAACGGATCTCAAAACGAAGTTGTTTTCAGTCACCTAGATGAATATATGTATAGAAATTGATTCAATTTAAAAACTGAAAACGCTCTACCAAATTGGGCGACTTTTTTATCTCATGTTAGAGAAAAATATCCTGTTTAATGTTTTTTATGCTTTTTTATGTAAATATACGTAAAATTTTATGCAAAAGTCGTCATTTTTCCTGATTGGTCGGCTCAAGGTCACTCGTGCGTTCGCATCCCTTGGGACTCTATTATCGAACTTTGCCGTATAGTTTTCAATTAGATCTCATCAGGCTTAACTCTAATATATATAAAGTTACAAAATAAAAAAATTTACGGATGACCTCTTACAAAAGGAATTTGAATATATTCACGATTCCTTGATGGAGATGGGCTATCCAAGTATTTTCATAAAGAAACATATGAAAACATCGGAGAAAAAACCGGAGACTCTGACTGCACGTAAGAAACCTCTATTTATTAGGTTACAATTTAATGGTGATTTATCAAGTAAGATTTTATTCCAAAGACTTTTCAGGAGTATATGAAGGACATTTTACGCAGCAAACCTACGTTTGTCATTCTCTAGCTGACGAATGATTGGGACACCGAAAACGAAGGATAAGATAGATAGTTTTGCCACATCTATGTGAGAGTAGTAATAGTAACAATTGACGTAATAAGGAAGAGTATACAAATTGAACAGACAAAAATGAAAAAATGAAAAATTGGTACAGTTAAAATATGATTAGGGATTACCATCATTTGTTTTGATTTTCAATATTTAATATATACTATATTTTCTTAACATATACCGAAAAGTGTGCATTCAAGGGGAGAGAATAGAAAGGTGAACAGGATACAAAACTTCGATCAAAACAGTCTGGATTCAGTAAATGCAAATCGTGTATACATGAAATCGCAACTCTACACATAACCATCGAATGGAGGAATAGAATATCTGTCAAATTTCTACCTCAACTTCAAAGATTTTCAAAAGGCCCCTGAAAGTGTTGACCTTGAAGTATTTTGGGGAGCCCTGAATCTTTGTCAACTTCATTCAACACCTGTAAGATAATGACTCGTGTAAGGTGATCTACAATGAAAAATTCATTGAAGCGTTTGAAGTGAATGCAGTAATAAGACAAGGCTGCTTGCCTACTATTATCACCGATGATATATCTAACTGTGATGGACTAGATTATGAGGCACATCGTGCATTGGGAGCGAGAAGACAGGAACACGTTAGGCCGATAAGAAAACTCTAGAAAATTTAGATTTCATGCGTGCACGAATTATATTTGATGTCAAACAAACTTGAAGACTTACAGCCGAAAACCGACAAGTAGGTAGGCAGAGGAGGAAGGAGGAATTGCTCGGTCTCGATGGGAACATCATCACCCACTGCGGAATGCAGGTATATTCAGCTGGCGGACGAGTCCGAAATAGGACGAAGTGCGCTTAATCATGGATTCCACTGCTACTTAAAATCCACCAATTAAATATATTAACATTTTACGAGTTGATCACAGATTGATGTCAGTTAGAGAACCATTGAAAACCAGGGAGTACTGGACAGCTGTTTCACCTTAGTTTGGGAATCATCGGCAGTACGCACCCACTGGGATTCGAATCCAGTGCCTTCTGGTTACAAGGCAAGCTAGCTAGTATACCATTCAGCCACTGGGACCCGATTCAATGGTCCTTGAATCCTAACTTCTGTCAATTCACGACATAGTGCGACCGCCAGCCACTGTCTTCGGCGAGTATTTGTCCTCACACCCAACCTGCTGAACCCCAGTGGTCACGACTTCTCACTAGAACCCCAGGTAACTACCTACCTGAATAGGGCAAGTCGCTAGGGGTCGCGCTATGTCGTGAATTGACAGAAGTTAGGATTCAAGGACCATTGAATCGTGTCCCAGTGGTTTAATGGTATACGAGCTCGCCTTGTAACCAGAAGGTCCTGGGTTCGAATCCCTGTGGGTGAGCACTGATGAAGAGTTCCAAACTGGGACGAAACAGCTGTCCAGTACTCCCTGGCAGGTTTTCCAATGGTTCTCTAACTAATGTCAGCTCATGATGAAAATCCTGGAAACACCATTACTTGAATAGATTCAAACGGCAACCTGATATGATGACTATCTTGTACAGTGATGTGTCTCCTAACCTCAGTAGTCTATCAGCAGATTATACTCTGACGTTGGAGATAATTGAATGCTATCTTCAAGTTATATTAGGAACAAAATTATTCATCAGGAATGCAAACATAATATATTCAACTGACCAGTCCCCTAATAGGAATGAAACACGTGTCGTGAATTTCACGCCTCCACCTCCCACCTCTCTCACACACACAATCAATAATCCATAGAACATTTGACATAGATACACAGACGATAGCTGAGGAAAGGAAATATATAGTAGCAGGGCCTAGAAACGTAACAGTAGGATAGAAAACTGGGTCATTGTTGGTTAAGCCTTTTTTTGTGTTGCTGTCTGCACTAAAATATATACGTAAAACTAAGGCCAGAAAAAAAATCCCACTTTTTTCTGTTCCACTATATATACTGTCTATCCAAATCTCACCGACATAAGTGTGGTGAATATTTAACTTTATCATGTAAAAATACTCATCTTGTGTGCATTTAGGGTGTACGACACGAAAGGGAAGAATGGTAGACATGTCTATTAAATATGTTCCCCTGATAATGTTGAGGATAACATGATAGTGTAGTAGTGGGCTTGAAAAAATCTATTCAAAAAACACACATAACTGGTAAATCGATTGAACAACACGATGATGATCAGGATATAATGATGACAAATGATGATGATAATCTCTATGTCCAGGGTGTGTGGTGTGCGAACTATGGACAGGCAAAATTTCGAACATTTCGCAAACATCGCATTGGTGTATTTCTCTAAATATTGACCATCTGTCTGTCTGTCTATTTATCCATTGATTACAACCTGTCTATCCATCCACCTATCCACCAATCAGATTATTTTTATTTTGTGTGTTTAACCTGTCTATTAGACATACAGAAACTGCGCACCAATGTGTACGTATGTTGTGTGTGCGTGCATGCATGCATGCGTGCGTGCGTGTGTGTGTGCGTCGTAAGGTACCTGCGAATGGTTATTATAGATGTTGATTATAGACGCAGAAAGATTTTTAAAAAATAAAGCCACAGAGAACACAACATGGAAAATATCTTTATTTTTACGTATATAACTCAGAATTATTGTTGAACAAAAGGATGAATAGTTTTTAAAAATTACGCCTGATAGATTATCAATCTTGTGACAACCAGAACACAGTCTTGGTGGAAGGAATAACAGCAACAGAAAACTTATTGAAGCTGTGTATAGCCGCCATTGTCTTTCGTGGATTGTTTAAAACAAAAACAAACAAAAAAAACCAACTTTTCGGATATATTTATTTTACAGTATTAGATTAGTTAGCTGTCTCTGAAGCAAAAGCAAAAGCAAAAACACATATTCTTCACATTATTGAGGCGCATAAAACGATTTATTATATTCCTATGAATACATTATTTCCATATCCTTTAAGAATTCCATCTTTTACTGACTTCTATGATCATATTATGTCGTCTCAACAGAATGCCAGCATGTCTTCTCCGTGTTCCTCATCTCCTTCGACATTATTATCAAATCCAGGATCAATGTTGACTACTGCTAATACTACTAATACTACTACTACTTTCGCCGGCACTCTTATTCCTACACCAACGCCAACATCAACAACCAGCCTACCTAGTCCATATAATCTTGCTGTGGAAATATTCAACTCTTTAGCTTTACATCAACACCAACAACAACACCACCAACACCAATTGTCTATGGATGAAAAGACTTTGAGTAGACTTCAAACTCAATCGTCGGCACCATCACCGACAACTTTACAGAATTTATCTCTTCAGCTGTTAAATATGACTAATTCTTCGTTGAATACACTACCAAATAGTTGTAATGATCTTTCGAGTCATTCTATGCATCAGCTACGGTCTAATACTCATTGGAATAGTAAACATACTACTGCTAATAATAATAGTAACCTTCCTTTATTATCCTCATCCTCTCCATCTTCTTCGGTAATATCGACAGAGACATCTTCGACGTCATCACTGTCAACTGCATGTCAACATTCTAGAGTTGCATGCAATCATGTTGAGGATTTATCAAGTTTACAACAAGATAATAATAATAATAATAATGCTATTTTAAATACTTATGAAAGTTTAGCCTCATGGTCGTCTGCACTATCCACTGCTTCACCGAGTGCTGTTGCCGCCTTTCAACATGCTTTAGGTCAGTTGGCTTTACTCGGTTTATCATCTCCTTCACCGACTCATAATGATCGTATGGAATCGAATACTACACCATGTTCTAGTGAATCAATAAATTTATCCAAGGAACAAAGCAATTATAAATTATTGAAAAATAATAGTAATAATAATAATCATTTTAAAGGTCAAGACTGTGATTTCCCAACAACTATGCATAATTCAACAGTTGTAAATCAGGCAACAATGTAAGTTTTTGTTCTATGAACTATCAAGTTTTGATCTTATTTGTGGAGTGAATACATAAAGGCATATGATGTGTGCTGGGGGGGGGGGGGGGGGAAACCAATCGAAGTGAAGCTACCTCGATGGAGATGGCTTGGATGGACACTTGTTAGGCATGTTGAGTCACACTGCCTCCTTGAACTAACAAAGTTAGCTGATATATTCTTGGGTTTGGAAAGAGTTAAGCGTTGCCAAAACAAAATGTGGCATAAAGTTGTCGATTGTTGGTTTCTGCAAGTCATGTTGGCAGGGATTGGTAAAAAACCGAATGGCTAGAGGCTATTTGGGGATGTGGCTTAGAATCATTTCTCAGTGGCCCAGATCCACTTTCCGTATATTTATGCTTTTTTGGTAGTTTTGTTTTTGAGTTGTTTATTTTTCCTCTTTTCTCTACGTGTGTGTGTGTGGTATTTGGAGCATGGCAACCTGAACTGCCACACTTCTGGGCAAAGTTCTATGTTGAGCCTTAGTTAGTTAGCCGTATATGAGATTCGTTTAATTTACTCGTGTTTGATGTGTTTAGCAAACTTATTCAGAGTTTATAAAAATGCGCCATTTACACGGAATTAGAATTTTTATAAAAAATCACTGAGAAATGTTTTTTGCACCTACATTTTTTACTACGATAATCACTTGATAGGATCTGGGGTCTACAATACTGAAGAGTTTGCGACTAGGATGTAATAGCTGTCTAGTGTGACATACTTTCCTGTGATCCTCTAAACCATATATCGTTTTAAATTTAATTGGTGGATGGTGACTAGCAGTGGAGTAATCCAGGATAAGGCGCATTTCGTCCTCTGATTGGGACTCGTCCGCCAGCTGAATGTACCTGCATTCCCCAGTGAGTTAGTGATGATGTTCCTACCGAGGCTAAAAACCCCGTGCCCATAGTTTCGAACGCCAGCTGAAGCATTACCCACTAGACCACTTGGGCCACGAGAACCACCTCATTCTTGTGCAACAGGTCATATTGATTATTTAATTTTCGCTCGAATTAGTCGACGGGAAAATCTAAAATTCATATATCGTTTTGGCAATAAAAGTGTACTGGAAGTAACTTTTTTACACACACACACACACACACGCAAACAGAAGTAGATTGCTCATAAAAAGCCTTGGTAAAATTCTTTTGAACATCATACCATTTACATGTTTATTATTATTATTTATTATTGTTCCTTAGAGTTCCCAGTGGAACATGGGGCTTCAACAACACATCTACACTTTGTTCTGTTTTCTGCCGTCCTCTTCAGCTAGCTAACTCCACGATTGCCCATGGTCTCGTATCTCTTCCTTCTCCTCCTCTCCTCCCCAACACACGATCTCCTCAATGTCACCCTCCCACCACTGACGACACACTCATCGTTACCCATTTGGATTCCACTTGACTGATGGTCTGCATTGCGTGCGATTTCATTCGACGGCCTCCTCAGTCGCGTATGATCGATTAATCTCCACTTTCTCCTACATATTTGTTGAGCAATCGGCTCTCTTCTTCCTGTTTCTCATTCTTTCTGGCCAGTCGGTCGGCTGGCCATTTGATCTTGAGTATAGAGCCAGCCAGCGAAGTGGGCAGCTGTTGAGAAAAGTCTGTAACTTGCTGGAAACCATTTTCGTGACTCACTTGCAGTGCACGTTTCTGACCTGTATAGAAGGACTGACTGACTGACTCACTTCACATTTGTGTTGGAAATCCGAATCTTGTTGTTTATACTGCGTCGGAGTGCAGAAGATTTGCAAACTGGTTTCAGGTTGATGACTGTGTGTCTTGCCTTTCCGATTCTGACTGACTGGCTTTGCCATCTTCATCCGTTTCGACTGGCTGTGTTTGAAAACGTGTTCCCTAGGTAGATAAGTGAAGACAGGAAGTAACCTGTGTCAAATCTGTCCCGCCGATGGTGATTGGTGCTGGTTGTTGTTGCTGCTGTTGGTTGGTTGGAGGTTATCTTCATTACCTCCGTGTTTTCTATGTTCACCTGGAGGCCTGTCTTCGCCTCCAGCCAGCTTGTCTAGCCTTTTTTTATTGTGCGTTGATATTTCTGTAGCAGTTTTCTAGTTTTGTGGGTTAGGGTAACTAGCCCTACGCCTAATCCTCCCTCATCATCAAGGCTTGCAACCAGTTAGAAAACCAGCGAGCTAGTAAATCAGGCAAAGTTACCATTTACATGTGGAAAACTTCAAATCTTTTGCTCCTAGAGAGATAAACCTCCTTCAGTTGCGTCTAATTCTTTATGTTGATGCTGACTAAGTTCTGTGGGTGATGTTTTCAGTGTTGTCACTCAAGCTTGTCACTACTTGTCACTACCATGAACTTTGATTTCTATCAGATATTTTCTATAGTTTGGATTTTAAGGGTTAGTTATGTTTTTACGAGTTGATCACGGACTGATATCAGTTAGAGAACCATTGAAAACCAGCCACAGGGAGTACTGGACAGCTGTTTTCGTTGTCCTAGTTTGGGAATCATCGGCAGTACGCAACCACTGGGATTCGAACCCAGGACCTTCCGGTTACAAGGCAAGCTCGTATACCATTCAGCCAGCCACTGGGACCCGATTCAATGGCCGATGATTCCCTTACAAACCAAACTATAGAAAATTAATCTGATGCTCGCTAGTGACTTGCTACAGGATGGAGTTTTCTGCAGTTCTAGTGAGAAGTCGTGACCAGTGAGGTCCAATTAGATGTCACGTGTGTGGATGGATGTCTCACCAATGACAATAGTTGGGGTGGTGCTAAATCACGAACTGGTAGAAGTCGGAATTCATGAGCCATTGAATCGAGTCCCAGTGGCTGAATGGTATACGAGCTAGCTTGCCTTGTAACCGGAAGGTCCTGGGTTCGAATCCCAGTGGGTGCGTACTACCGATGATTCCCAAACTAGGATGAAACAGCTATCCAGTACTCTATGGTTTTCAATGGTTCTATTGGATAGTTAAAGTTAATCGAAAGGTAGGTCTTCATCACTCATAGATGGATGTCAGTTAGGGAGAGAGAGATCTTAGAAACCAAAATGTTCTCGACGATTCTTTCGACCTAGTCTGAGACTACATAAAAATATGTACGACTCAACAAAAGATCACAAAGTGTGTTGTGGTGACCATTTTTCATTTTTCAACCTCCATTATTATCCAGTCTTCATCTTAACGATGAATTTAGTCGAATTCTAATATTAACGCTTTGTGGTCAGTCTAGTCAAGTATAAGGATAGTTGACTGAATACAGTTCCTCGACTGTTCTACTTAACATCATGTTTAATAGGTCCCCGGGGCACCATGGACTGGATAAGCTTCCACCAACACAAAGCGGATCTTGACGAATCTTATGTGTAGAATTTTTAATTTAATTTGGACATTTACTGAGGAGTTTCAAATTAGGACGAAACAACTGCCCATCAGTTTCATTGTTAACCAGTTTAAATAAATGACCAGCTGATGAGTACAAGCCCCCCCAAATTCATTTTTTGATAATAAGCTCAAACATTTTCTCACTCCATACTTTTGGATAATTTGGGGTGGGGTGGGGTGGTGACAGCTGTCGAATACATTGAAACATGAGAATTTGACGTGAAGTGTCTTGTGAAAATGCCATAAATTGTCGACAAAATTCTCGTTTATTTTTTAAATGATCTCATGATCTCATTACTACACAAACAAGTTTCTACTGCCACCCCCCCCACCGCCCACAAAGAATAGTTTTTATTTCCACAATTGTCATAATTCATGTTATAGTATGACCCCGACCAACTCATTTCCTCTCTGCTAAACCACGTATGACCTTTAAAAAATATTACTTCAGAGATTTTTATCACATTTGTGACAGAAAATCGATATTTTTTCTTCTAAATAGGGAACATTATTTGCTTATCATCATCATAATCACCATCCAGGGACCGGCATGTAAGGGGGGAGGGTAAGGAGGTATTGGGTTATTCCTCTCTTCCTCAAAACAAAACGGCTTGCTTGAACAATCCAACCACAATCATGCCTAGTCTTTATTTGCACTTCCCTTTTGTAATGGTTAATGGTTATCGACTTTTTATAATCACTAGGGTACACTAAGAATAGAGTAATATTTTTAAATGTCTGCCTGGTTCATCCTCAGTGATGATTTGTAATTACATATTGGAGAAGAATTGTAACTCCAGTAGATTCTTTTGATGTTATCCTTCTTGTTGTTGCTGTGTATTGTCAGATGGTTAGTCGTTTAATTGACCAGCTGTCATTGCTGTTCACCTAGACAGTATTTTCAGTTTATACGAGTTTGACCACGGATTGATATCAGTTAGAGAACCATTGTTTATGATGATATTAGATGGTTGGAGGCAATCGGCCACAGGAAGCCTTGGACCTAGGTTTCGTGCTAGTTGGAACTCATCAGCAAGGCGTAGCTGTAACCTTGAAGGAACTCATGTCCCTTCTGAGATTCGAACACGCGTCACCCAGTGTTGCCTGCAATCAGAGACGTTACCACTGAGCTATTCGGGCTCGCGATTGACCTCCTGTAGGACTGTAGTGGATATTTTGATTTGACACTAGTAACTAGTGTGATGCGTCTAGTCCTCTCTTTGGTGCAGACTGAATTCTATCAGTCAGGTTGTAATGTGGCCACCATTCTAGGTAGCTCGCCATCATGGTATACATTGAAAACCAGCAACAGGGAGTACTGGACAGCTGTTTTCGTTGTCCTAGTTTGGGATTCATCGGCAATACACACCCAACGCCAGGGGTTCGAACCCACGACCTTCCAGTTACAAGGCATGCTAGCTCGTATACCATTCAACCACTGGTACGCGATCCGACTCCTCAATGGCCAGTCCATGAATTCTTACCTCTACAATTCGTGATTTAGCTCGACTGGCACCAACCAATGTCATTGTTGGAAGCTCCATCCTCACTTCCGACTGGATAGACCTCAGTGGTCACGACTTCTCACTAGAACTTCAGGAAACTCTGTCCGG